TCAACAGAATCAAACGCACCCTTGAAGTCAAGGAATACCAGGATTGTGAGTCGTCTGTACATGTGGCGTTGCTCTAACACCTGACGGAGTGTGAAGATGTGGTCAACGCAGCCTCTACCCGGTCGAAATCCCGCTTGATTCTCACGAGTCAAGACTTCGCGTGCCTCCATGAGACGACGAAGAATCAATGACGCCAGAAGCCTTGTCACAACAGGCGTCAAGCTAACACCTCTTAGAAATGCAAGTGGCTGATGTAATAACTCGTAGTTTAGAAAGTAACGTGCTTTGGCTGACCGAATATGGAGCAGAATGACGTTTCGTTGTATGAGACTTGGTGATCTTTCTTCAGAATCACCAAATACGGCCTAAGGAACAGCGAATTCAGTCGATGATTTAAAGGCTGTCATCTTTCTAACTTGGAACAAACCCTCCCAATATTTGATGAAACAAAACTCTGCGCAGCTTTATAAACAGGAGTGCTATTTTGCAATGAAATTTGAAACATTCTATTGCTTGATCATGCTGGCGAAATGCGATATTTGGCATAAATTAGGAGTTCGAAAACCCTTGGGCTATGATGTCCCCGTTGGCCTGAAGGCTTTCATAATGACCCTATGACCTGCGCTTTCTCATAGCATAGTAATGGGCCCAGATCTACCCGAATAGCGAATGGTTTTGAATCATGTAAATCTACCAAGATGTTTTGTTAAGTTTTGTAAAGTTTCTGAACTCCTTCGCATCTAACCTCCAGGTGAACAGAGGACTACTGCAATGTCTTCTCCGCTTGGGAATGCGACCAGCGGTTAGTATGTGGAAGAGTCCGCGTGAAGTTGAAATATGAGGCGACGAGCGGATTTGTAGCGACCTAGTCACCCACACACTTGACTGTTCAGCCCATAGTCGCTCACTGGATCACGAGACTTGTCTCTTTTTCATGCCCACAACCACGTCACATTAAGGTGACTCATCAGACGTCGATTGTCTGCACCGTCTAGTGAGCGTACCAACCAGTCACGTGCTGACGCGCCCACGTACGCGCAAACGGACCTACATATAGGGAAACCGAACGCAGTCACCACACACGGACTCGCGCGCGCTCAGGGAATACGTGTAGCAGCCAAACTGCGGAGAAAACACGTTCCCGCAGTCCGGGCTTTCACCAAGGGACTCTCACCTACGATAAGTTCCCTGTTGACTTGCTGCACATTTTATATTGTTCTTTATTTTATACATGCTACAATTCGCTCTTGTAAACAACAGTCAATCACAGTTAAAAGCTTTTATTAATGAATACACCTGGTTTGTATTATGGCTATCATCACCTGTGCACTAATAGATTTAAGGTAGTTTACTATTGAACACGGACTGTTTGTTGATGAAACTGAAGATGATGAGGACGATAACAATGATTATGATGAGGGTGATACGGGTGGTGATGAGTAGCAAGATGAAGGGAAGGGGTGAGAATGAACTTCAGACGAGGCATTGGTTCCAACACGTAGCCTACTCTGCTCGATTTATCTGACTCGTCCACTCCAGCATGAGAGTAGTTGATGCAATTCTCTCTGGTAATCCCCAACTTTAGTGGTCTCTCATTCAGAGTAGTAATGGATTCACGTATTCTCCACCAGCTACGGTTGGAAGCACTCACACTGTAGCGTCTGTGCAGTAACGTTCAAGATGCACTGGCGGCCAATGTTCCGTGAGTT